TTGCCAGGTCAAGGATGTCCCAAGGCTCTCCAAAAACAGAACAGAGTGTGCAGGGAGCTTGCGAATAGTGCAACCATGACCCACTGTGATATTCTGGTCAGTTCAGCCGTTGACTTGTTTGTGTGAACTGAGCCGTGAATTGTGGTTAGTAGGAGCCAAAATGAAACCAGGGTCCACAAGACCCCCCTGCATGGTTCTGGCCTCTCCCATGGGAGTCCCCCACTACACCATGAATTCCAAGGTGGCAACAGGACAGAGTGGAGCAAGCACAGATATTCTGGAATCATGCAGATGTGGACTTGAATTCTGGTCCCCTATGGTCCAGCGGGGTGACCTTGGGAGAACTGACAAACTAGCTGAGCCTCAGTTTCCTCACTTAAAAATGGAGCTAGGGTAATCTGGGTGGCTCAGTGCTCAGTCGGTTGAGCATCTGACTCTTGATTTCAACTCAGGTTATGATCTTGGGGTCCTGGGATGGAGCCCCACATCGGGCTCTGCACTCAGCGGGGAGTCGGCTTGAGATTCTCTCTCCCTCTGCTCCTCCCCCATGCTCATGCATGCTCTCTCTCTCTCAAATAAATAAATAAATAAATAAATAAAATCTTTTTTAAAAAATGGAGCTAATACTGACCTTGTAAGATTTTTATGAGCATTAATAATGTACCAAGCAACTAATAGTAGCTTAACAACATTAGCCGCTTAATAAATGCTGGAACCCTTCTTTTCAAAGCCTACAGTGATGTCTTCCTCTAAATTCTGACAGCATTTACTTTCTACACAACTCATTTTGTGTTTACTCTCCCAACTTGCACATTCAGTATTGTTCCACATTCCTTCCTTATCCAAACCATGTCTTCTATTTTATCCAAATGAGAGAGTGTGTATATAGGACTGAACACAATATTGGCAGATACATTTAGTGCCTAATAAGTGAAAGCCATAAATAAATAGTATTATCTCACACACTGTCAACCCAAAAGCCTTACATGAACCCTGCATTCAATATTTGCTGATTTATTGTCCAAAATAAATCAGATATAAATTCCAGCTTTATGGATGTACAATCTGAACATGAATATCTTCAGTTGGATGGCTCCTGTGATCCAATATTTTTTGGAGAATGATGGAAACTGAAGGAGTTGCATAAAGACTGAAATCAGGAAACTATCCCAGTTCTTTTCAAGTAAATAAAGGAACTCAATTTGGCCAACTATAGACCAGCCAACTTATTTTTGATTGGGTTAATATATGGTTCAAGACACCAGTGAGGAATATGAACATTTCAATAAATGGAATAAGAAAATAGGAGATTAGTCATCCAGGAACGATTACACAAAGATCAGAATTAGAAATGGAGCTGTCTTCTGGGGTCTAGTTAGAATCACACAAGGTTGTGACTGGAGCGTCACAAGTCAAGTCAGAAAAGTCAGGACTCAGTTGTTTCAGGTCGGGGAACAAAAGAGAAACTTTAGAGCTTTGTGAACTTTGGAAGCCAGGTTATAGAGCCATTTACCTGAAGACAGTGCAGTATTTAATGGGGTCAGGCAAGGAAAAACTGCTTTTCTTTGCTGTATGTGAGCCATGTAGTATAAGTGACAAGAAGAAAAAGCAGGTGAGAAATTGGGCTACAGAACATCTTGCTTACGCTACGCAGATGGAACCTCTTTACTCCTGGGTGCTAATAATCAGACAAGTCCAAGTTGGAGTTCAAGCCTTAGATGAACAACGTGAGCTGCGGGAGTCCTTCAAATCCTTAACTTCTAAGGATTCTGTATATATTGCGATCCATGTGAGAATATAGCTAAACGACGATTCCCCACAAACTTATGAAAAATACTTTGTTTAAGTTAAAGGAGACGAAGTACTAATGAAAAGGAGGTAGCTAATCAGATGGAGGCAAAATACAGTCTTCTGTTGGGTGATAAGGAAAGTCGAGAACAGTCTCTATTTCACACTGCTGATATGGAGCGGGGGAGAGGGGAGTATTTGTAATTCCTTTTCTGTTCTCCAAAAATGCACATTCTTTGGCTAGTTCAGTGATAATGATTGGGTTAATCAGTGCATTTTGAACTGCAGTCATAAAATACAAGGTTGCCCCTCAGCCCTTTTAACAGAGGAAAACAGGAAACCATAGTAAGGGTCAGTAGTATTTCTTTTTGCCTCAGTTATACAAGTTTGCATGCACACACATGGACATGCACACTGCATCGGGATGCAAAAGGTATTTCTTACTGTACATCCTCTGTAAAAGAGTTCAAAAAACTTTTGAAAAATTAGGGGCGCCTGGCTGGCTCAGTCAGTGGAGCATGCAACCCTTGATCTCAGGGTTATGAGTTCAAGCCCTATGGGGCAGAGAGCATACTGTAAAAATTTTTGAAAAATTATAATAGGGAAATCAGATGGAGCACTTCCTATGAAAAATTCGCCAAGTCAATGGAGTGGTGAATTTCTTTTAGGAAGACTCATGTGAGACACATAGAAGACCCCAAGAAAGTGAGGTTCCCTTAAATGCTAGGCCAGAGTACTCAACACCATATTTCTTTTTGCCTTGCTTTTGTAGTTTAGCATTTGTCTAAATACACTCTTGAATAATAATACTTATTTTTACTTACTACAATATAGTGTCCTTTCAATATTATAGAGAGCATCGTGATAATCATATTTTATATATAGCAACAACAACAACAACAGCCCCACAGCCTCTGGTTTTTATTTCTAGTCCTAACATTGGCTGATCCCAAGACTCTTTGGGCTTCATTATCTTCATATGTTCTCTTTTACACAAAATGAGGGTGAGGAGAAAAGACGGCTGAAGTGTCTTCAGTTTTAAAATTCTATTGTTTGATTTAGTGGAAAGGTAGATATTTCTCTCTCTCAATACTTCCTGGGTATTTGGACCACAAGATCAAACAAACAAACAAAAAAATCATTGTCTTCCTTGCAGCAAAAAATCCCAACTGCAATAGGATTGAAATACTTTGCTAGGAATGAAAAGTCCCTTGAGCCTTGACCTATAAACCCTGACCTTAAATGCAAAACCATGACCATCCATTGGTGATCATCTAAAAATCACTTTCCCTCATGTTCAGAGGGCACGTCTCACTTCCTGTCACACTGTCACTCTCCATGTATTTGCAGGACAGGATTTTGCTTTGTCTACTACACTCTTTGGGGATACATGTATATCGACGTACGTAGGTCAGAAAATTATATCATGGAAATTCATATTTCAAAGGCTGTCTGGGCCACTGTTTTAGAATTCCTGGAAGATTTTCCTATGGTTGAAGCATTCAATTCCTCTTGCGGAGCAGGGAAGATTCAGTCTGGCAAGAACAAGAATAGGACTTCCAAAAAGCAAGTCACAAGTTGTGACTTGCTGAGAGTGACTCAGGCACTGGCCCTGTGCCCCCCCACGTCACAGGTGATCCATCACCAACACCATCAGAGGATGCCCGGCTGCCAGATCTTCCAAGTGCTGTGACTTGCTGAGAGTGACTCAGGCACTGGCCCTGTGCCCCCCCACGTCACAGGTGATCCATCACCAACACCATCAGAGGATGCCCGGCTGCCAGATCTTCCAAGTGCTGTGAGGGAACCATGCCTTTCTCTACATCGGCTGATTTCATGTACTGGCACGGGAAAAACCTTCCGAAAGGGAAACCAGGACTGGGTTGCCATGAGAGCAACAACTATTGAGGGAGGACCTATCATGTGCAATGCGGTTCAGAACTGATGCTACTCTTGGCAATCGAGCTGTTCACCTCCCCCGATGAGTGCTAAAATGCATAGGAAAGACAGTGCATCAGGGGTCCTGGGGATGGAGCCACTGTGTGGTCTGGGGCAATCAATGAAAACGTCATTCCTGAAACAGAAGTGCAGCTGAGCCTTGCACTAAGAGTAAGAACACACTGGAGACAGGGAAAGCAAAAGACATTTCCAAAGCGGGGAACAAGGCATATGAAAACACAGAGGCAGAAGGGCACGTAGCCTGTTGGCATGGATCAAGAATGACCATGAAGTACTAACTTTGGAATCTGCATGTCACATCTCCAATGTGATAAAAGGAACATATCCTACCCGGCTCACAAAAGTAACAGGATTCACATGGCAAATAGGTAACAGGTTTTCCCCCAGATCCACATTCTAGAACATGGTGTCTTAGAAAATACTTTTAATCCATTGTCTTATTTCCCATCACTTTCTTTGTGGTTCATATATAATGCCAATTTCCCACATCTCTTTAATCTAGAGTGGGAGATCTAGGTCAATTGTAGAACTGAATGAAATTCAATCAAAGTCGTCTTATTGTATTATGTAACACGGCTAAGACCTGTAGGTGAAAACAGAAAAGGCTAAGCAGGATTTCTGTTTTCAAGAAACTTTGGTAGAAAAGATAAAACACTGGCCTGTGAAACTAATAAATAAAATGCTGCCTTATATTATAGGAAGATGAACCACAACCAGTATTTTCATTTGAAGTTCATAGCTGGCACGGTCTACAGAGGCATATGTAAATCATTTGTCAATAGGACCCATGACTCACCTGAGGGCTGCCACCAACTGTTGCCTACTATGGGCACTGCATAAAAAAAGTGACCTCAGAAGTGAGTTCTCAGCTTACCATGACATATGTGTGATGCCACATCTGTCCAGAGGAGGGCATCATTTTCTAATTCTTCCACCTGGAAGGGGCACCTGTTCTTAATTCCTCCATCTAGAGGGGACACCTTTCTCTCATTAGCTCAAAAGCCTCTGAGAGGTGAGGTGGGGGTCCTGATCCTCTTTTTTCATACGAGTAGATATGGCTCTTGACGAAATACTTTGTAGATTACTCAACTTACTCAATCTTGGGGAAAAATAAATAAGCTGGAGAAGAGATGGGTGGTGTTAATGAACATTCATTATTTTGGACATCATCATTGTATAAGCACCACTGTTTACACCATGCTTCACTGCACACACCTCAGTGGCGTTCCAATGGGAGAGGTGGCTCAGCTTACCTCGTTCTCCCGGGCTCCCTGGCACGCCTGCATTTCCTGGGAAGCCTGGGGTCCCTGGGGGTCCTTGTTCACCAGGGGTTCCAGGTGACCCTGGTCTGCCAGGCTCCCCAGGAGGCCCCTGGATGGTCCGGACTGATGAGGACTGGCTGGGAATCTGGTTGAGGATGGCCGTGTACCTGGCCATGTGACCTGAGACACAAAGGGCAGAGGCATCCTTCAGTGAACTGTCACACGCAGAAAGGGAAGACCAGCGGTGTTATCGGTCAAGGCTCTGAACCATTCCGTTCGACAACCACAAGAGGGAAAAGCACACTCTCTGAAATATGTTGATTTCCAACTTAAAAATGATGACATTTTACTTTGGATGATATTAACAGCTGGACCGTATTCAAGGCGCATCTCAAGTGTTTGGAATTCCACAGCTCACATCAGCACCTCAGTAAACATCATGGGCAGAAGTCATACATTTGGTTTTTGCCCCCAACATTTATCTGACCCCTAAACCCTCACCCAGCTGCCCCTTTTCTCTAGCAACACCCCTCTCCCCAACTTATTTGTCTTTTTTCCAACCTACAAAGCCTGCTCCACCCTCTTGCTTACAAACCCCCAGACAAGTGTTTTGTTTCAATTTGACTCTTCGTTGCCAAGCTCTTTTGCAGGAACTTTTACTTGGGTCCCAGCTGCAGATACTCCCACTAGCTTTATTTATTTTGTTTTAAATCTGGCTCTCCCTCCTATAATCCCTTAACTCAGTTATGCCTGGAAGAACATATTTTAATAATCAGAAGTATACATTGGTAAAGTGCTTGATATCATAACGTCTCAGTTTTCCGGCAACATCAGAAGATAAGATTTTCCCACATGAGTGAATTTTCTAGATGAAAACCTATCCCTTTTCTAACATTCAGATCTAAAGAATAGTAACCATTCTAGAGGGATTATTTCTAAAATATATTCAATGCCTTCTTAAGCACAGGACCATGACCGCAACTGATGACTCGGAGGTCATCTGTAGGCATGTCCACGATTGTCCGAGTGGGGTCGACATTTCCACGATTGTCCGAGTGGGGTCGACATTTCCACATCTGCTTTTCCAGGTTCTTCCTTTATCACTTCTCTAGCTATCATCACTTTGGTCTCACACAGTTTCCCACGTCACCTTTCCTAGAGTAATTCTTCTGATCAGCTCTGGACTAAAATCCAGATAACTGAGCATGTGAGGAATGATATGCTAACTGATGAATCAAGTTCTGAGGAGAAACCGAAACAATGGAATAAGGAGCCCAGAGGAACCTGAAGTAGCATGTGGGAAGGTGGCTGAGGTGCCAGCAACAGCCCCTGGGTGGGTTGGGTCTTGCTCATAAGGTTGTGTGCAATCTTTTCTATTTCTTCTCTCCCAACTGCATCCACAGACAGGGCCTCCCTATTCTACAGCCTTCTTTCAGCTTCTGTGCATCACTCCCTGCTGGCTTCCATTTCCTCGAAGTCATTCACAAGAATCTGAGAATTCCCGAAGGGGAAAGATGCAATTTTGAACTCTCAATTTTTAGGGCATGTCTTAAATGATCATATATTTATATAAGATTTTTATTCTACAGTGGAATATGACAGCAACTATTGTGAAATCCCCCACATACTGTGGTCAGTGAGTCCTATCTGGATTTAACCCCTAGACTTCCTTAAAATAATTCCTTGCTCCTTTACACTGTATACTTGAAATGAGAAACCTACAAAATAATCCAAGGTACAGGTTAGCTTTAGACGTATTCAATGTTCAATTTAGCTTTTATAATTTATTGTGTTTTTAAAGATCTTGCTTTGGCATTAAACTTAAATAGTTTCATTTAAAACTGGTCAATTCTCTCAGATACACACATTTAATTTGGGCAATATAATATAAATGAAAAAGAGTTAAAATATAGGGAGCATTACTGTTATGTCTGAAGATGACAGCTTTGTACATGGTTTGCACAATTTATGTCTTAATGAAAACTCTCCCAAGCTGATGTGCACCTTCACTCGATGCCTTCCCAAAGATGAGATCTGGGTTTAGCTACTACAGATGGGATTTAGGAACTAGCCATTACGCCTTCTTGGACACTTATGGGACTCCCCGACATTCCTGGGTTAAGAAAATGTAACCTTCCAAAGCTAAGACAGCCACTCGGATAATGAAGGTGGAGTGGTGTGCTACCAGAGTAGGAGACTTGACTACAGAGCTAGGCCAGGGATGGCTGGGTTTGACTATTTCATCTCTACCTGGCTTTAGATCTTTCTGGAATTGAGCAAATTATTGGCAAAGGGCCCATACTAGTAACCCTCTGGTTAGATTACTGAGACAAAATGTCAGTGGGCCTAGGGGAAGCGCAAAATGGGTGGGTATGTAAGTGAATGAGCACAAACGAGTAACTGGAATACTGTGCTACTGGAAAGTTCAAGTTTAAAATGAAGACATGAGACACTACATCTGAAACTAATGATGTACTATGTGTTAGCTAATTGACTTTAAATTTAACAAAAAAGAAGAATGAAGCCAAGGACCTTGGGCTAACCAAAGGAAAAGGATAAAAAAAAGCAGGTATTGATTTAAATCTAGTGAGTTGATAGAAATCAACAGTATGGATCATCTTTTTGAAAGTAGCTTCTGATTCCTTAGTCTGACAACTTTCAAGTGCTGAGTACTTGAGAAAAAAATATGTATATATCCGTTTAAAGACAAGGAAAGAATAAAAGATCTGATCTGGGCAGCTAAGTTAAATCTATGCAGGCCAAAGGAAGGCTCTTGGACAGATGCCACAGAGGAAGTTGGTGTCTGTGACATGGATACAGGACTCGAGGGTGATCTGTAATGACCTCTTACCTGGGTTAGTTATGACCATCTGTAAAGCTTACCTAACTGCACCAAGACAAAGCTTTCACGGTGTTTTCCCGAGTCACTAACTTCTGGGCAAGGCAGATCCCCGTTGGGACAAGGAACAGAGAACGACATTGGAACCATAACGTACTTACTCTGGATGAGCTGTTCGCACACCTGACGTGCCACCGCCCGCACCATGGCTTGAGACTGCAGGTCCCCCTGCGTGAGAAGAAAGCATCCTCTGAGTCTCGGCCACAAGTCCAGCCCCATGGCCGGACTTCCGGCATGCAGATCTGACTCAACCCCCTGCTCCCACCTCGTTGGCTCCCACAGCAGGTAGGATTGGCCCCCACGGTGCAGAGAAGGAGGAAGCAATTTGACATTCATGGTGCAAGGTTCCTGGGAACCTTCATTAAATGACAAATCAAGTATTTCTGGTCCCAGATTCTAAAAGAATTTCATAGTTTTGACACAAACCCATATATATTGAATACCTCATTTATGGCTCTTTAGAGCTTATAAACTATAACACTTTCTCAGGCAGTGGCTAATTTCATATTAGCAACAACTCCAAGGAAAAATGTTAAACCCATTTGATAAATGAACAGAGTTAAACACGTTGCCCAAGGGTTCACAGAGGTGACTGGATGAGCCCAAAGTCACAGTTGTTTCTACTACAGGCGACAGCACAATTATATGAGCAGCCGCACAATTTCTCAAAAGAGAGAGAAGGCCCTGGAAATAAACTGATTTAAGTTCCCCAGCCAGTTCCTTGACTCTGCGTCTGCCATTGGCTGCCAATGTCCGCCCAACAGAGAAAACACAAGCCCCTTTCTACTACTTGGCATTAGCATAGAGTTTTTATTTTTCTGAAGCCTTTTTATGTCCATTATATAATTTTGTCATCAGATCCACTTTGGAGTTAGCAGAGTTTGATTCTCTCCATTTTATCCTTAAAGAAAGGGGCCCGAGGTCATCCAGCTGAATGGTAGCAGAGATGCAACTAGAAACCAGCTCTCCTGGCTTCTAGCCCACGGGGTGTTTTTCCACCTGACAACATGCCCCCAGTCCAGTGGGTTGAGGAGAGGGAGGAGAGAGGGAACGGAGTAAGAGCGATGAACAGTCATGATAGTAACAGTCAGGATCGTCGATGGTCATCCAGTCTCAGCCTTATGCAATGAAAGGTGGGCAGCCAGTTGTGCCTGGTAAACAGAGCCAGAGGATACTCACTCTTTCTCCGCGCTCTCCCTTGGCTCCAGGGATACCCTGTAAAAAATTTAAATTGTCAAGTTACTTGTAACACTGCCTTCAGCTGGCCATAATGAGAGTGCATCTTTTCCTATTTTATTAAGATGTTTTTCCTAGCTCCAGCGATTCTGCAGCAAAAATCGATACACAACAGGAATAAACAAACAGCAAACAGAAGTAACTCTTTTAAACATTTTACTCCCCCAGCCTTTTAATACGTATACATAGTATTTTTTCACATGAAATTAAGATCATGCAGCAATACTGCTTTGTGACGTCATATCACCAAATAGGTCATTTATATATTTCCACCCTAAGCACCGCTCCATGAATTGTACTCTACTGATGCTTCATGATTTATTTTACAAGCCTCTGCTGAATAGCTAAATTGTTTCCATTTTTAAAAGAATATCTCTCAAAGGAAGTAAATGATCTTCCATCCTAAGGGTTCAGGTAAGAGATGAGATTTGTGGATTCCCATAACTCTGCTTTCTGTCTGTGTCACAGCACACAGTTCTTCTCCCCGATAACAGGAACTCATATTAACATGAATTCTCAACTGAATTATTATTTTGTTGTGTGGCTTAGCTACTCTTTGAGCCGTAAGAAACTGTATTATTACTGTAAAAATTTTTACTGAAAAAATAATGGAGATTTCAAGTGTTTCTGTAATGAAATTATACTAATAAGCAAAACATGTGTCTTCAGAGCATTTCATCTTTTTGTTTCAACTCTGAAGCAATGTAATAGATCCACTGAACAACATTTTTATGTGTCTACCAAAAGGATAGCAAATAGCCTTTACAGATGAAATTTACCCACATTGTCAGACGGTTCCCCGTTGTTACAATAAACTCAACAAGTCCCAACCAAGTATCTTCTCCAGAATCTCTATTCCATTAACAGTCACCTAAATTCAAAATTCTCGTTTCACATCATTGGTGTGCAGGTAAATTGGCTTTCTGGAAAAATAAGATGCCCCGACTTGCAGAGTTTGCTGCTACTGGAGGCATAAATCTATCTACCATGGTTGATTTCAAGCTACAAATGTGCTGTCACTGAAGCCAGAGTTGAGAAAGGAAGAGAAGAAGGTACAAGCAGCTTGAGCCCACCACTGGTTCTGTCTTTTCTCCTCTCTTCCCTTGCATCTCGTATGCCTATTCAACACACACGCGCACACACACACACACACACACACACTTTCTTGCATTGCAATCTCTCATAGCCTTCTGTTCCATGACCCAGGTGCTACCCTCACTGTCTTACACCAGGGCATTTGAAACTTCCTTCTAACTGACTTCCCTAAGACCTCCCCCCCTTCTAGTGCATCCCCCACATAACCACGGGTCCTTCCTCAGATGCTACCAGCATACAACTTAAAAGGCTCAGTGACTACTGAGTGACAGCAGCTCTTCCTCTATTCAGAACCACTCAGCGATTCTTACACCCATGTGACAAAGTTGGTTCTTCAGTTCAAAGTCTTTTGTTATCTAGTTCCAACCTCCCTAACTTCTACTCCTCAAAATTACACTTTCGCATCCCCACAGACCTGATCTACTCAGTGTATGAAAACATTTGAAATGTGAGAAAAATATTAAAGTATTTATAAACATAAATCTTATAAATTAAATATCAACAGGAGAAATATTCTAATGCAGTAATTAGTTCCAATATCAGTTATATGACACTGCATTTTTTATTATTGTCCAATGTACTTAGCTACAAGTCAGCTCGTGGATTTCTCTTCTCTTTGTGTAGATGGTAAGATCTCTAAAACTAGAAACCATAACTTATATTACTTTCTATTTCTAAAACCACCTAGCCTGTTTCCCACATAAAAGAGTCACTCAAACATTCAACTAAGTCCAATATTAAATTGAAATAGTCATTATAAATCTAGGATCGTTGTCTACTTCCTCAGACCTTGAGCTTCCTTTTGTTCTGTCAATAAAGTGAGAAGAAAAATATTAGCTGACTTCAACTAGAAGAATAAATCCACCCTTTAGTGTACCATAATTTTTCAAGATTACAAATGAGATCAATAATCAACAAAACCCAAGAGAATGTTATTGAAAAATATACACAAACTCATACACAGAATAGTACAATTTTAGTGCTGGGTATATAGGTGTTCACTCTAAATTCTTTGAATTTTGTTTGAAATTTTTCATACTAATATTTTGGGGAAAAACAGATGAGATAGGATCTGTAAGCCACTTAAACTCTTCTGAGCTTCTTTGTAGGATCAGGCCATTGAGTTAAATGGTCTCCGGGCTTCCTTACAAGGATAATGTGTTATAATCTCATAATGTCGTCATTATTTGGAATGGCGTAACACATGGAACAGAATTTATGAAAAATACAAAGCTGGACTTTCCAGGGGAGAATCACCAACTCTACAAGGAAAGCATATCCTCACTATAACCACTCTCAGCGTGTAAGTTCCGTAGTCAGTCTGTGTCTAGCTCACAAACTCCTGTTCCGCAGTTCCCAGGATTGTGCTTGGGCCCGAGCAAGCGCTCAAAGATATGTTAACTGAATGAATGAAAGAATGAATGAATGGCTGAATTTTACTGCAAGTCTGGATGGCAGCTTCATTTTACCTGCCTTGACTGAAAAAAAATGAAGATATTTAAGACATTCTCAGGCATTCTAGATGATTAGAAAGAGTTGATTCTGTAAAAAGTATCCAAGAGTTGATTCCGTTAAAAAGTATCCAATCTCCTTTATAAAAACTGTTTGCAAAAGTAAGATTTACAAGGCATTCTTCCCTCGCAATTCTTTTAAGATATAGATGTACTGGTGTCTCAGGCTCCACAAGTGGCCAAATCCCTAAAGATGCAGTAACGTCCCCTTGTAGGTCTAACTGGAGAAAAGAGCTACTTATGTTATCATGAAGTCAACCTTTAGTGGAACCAGCTTTTCAAGCATTAGATGCAAAACAAAACCCAAAAATCAGCAAACAAAAATAAGTAAATATTCTACAATATTAATATATTCAGAAACTGTTGGTAAATACAAGCAGTTTAACACTGAAGTGCTTTTACCATGTTCCAAGCATTGTTCTTAGTGTATTAACCCATTTAACTCTGTCACAGCCTTATCAGATTAATTCATTTATTTAATTCTTATTATTTAAAGACTCCTATAAAATAATCTCATTCATTCTTTCTAACAACCCTAGGAGATGTTATTTCCACTTTATACATAAGAAAAGTGATTCACAAAGAGGCTAAATAACTCACCCACGATCACACAGTGAGAAAATGGGAACTCTGGGACCAGAACCCAATCAGCTGGGCTCCAGAGCCCGTGATCTCCCCAACAAAGTGTGCTTCTAGCAAAGTGAATGAGAACACTGTTCAACAATTCTGCAAGCCAATATCTTCAACTCCGTTTCCTAGCTAAACAATAATAAAAAAGCAATCATGAGTCCCTCCAATCTAACCCTAGCAACTCAGAACTCGGTGTTAACCTGAGTCATTTCTTAAAAACAGCTGGTCTCAAATATTTTTATTTCTGAACCAATACACTATTTGACATCTCCATTGCTAGCTATCATTTATTAAATTGGCTTCCTTGAAACTTAGAAAAAGAAATTAGAGGGTGAACCCAAGTGATAAGGAAAAACACACAGCATCAGCCTCTTCTGGTACATAAGAATGGATGTGTTCAATCCGACCTGAAATTCCTCAAACTCGGCCTCACGTTGCTGGTTATTAAGTAGCTACAGGACACAGCTAGGCAGTCTCAGTGAAAGATCCATTTAGTAGAATATCTGTACAGCAAAAAGTTATTTTTTATTCCAACATCTCTGACATCTTTCCTTTGATTTTTGCAAAGTAAAACAAAAACAAAATAAAAATTCCTGAGCAAAGGACGGTCCATAACTCCACCAAAGTATGCTTTGAGGGAAAACACATATTCCCTGTGGATGTAGGCAAGAAAAATGGCACATTTTCCTATAATTTTAGGAGCCCTTGAAATGTAAAGAAAAGAAACTACAGTAGCTACATTCATAGATTCACAGAATTTTAATGCTGAGGGAAGAGGAATGATCTCATCATGGCCCAAGTCCCACATATTAAAGATACCTGTTAACACAAATCAAAACATTCTAGCTCGGATGTTAGACCATGGAGAAATAATCTAAGAATAATCTTCTAGTACTCCCCTGCACATCAGCCTAACTGGAATGCAAACATAACTTCATTCTTTCTTTCTTTCTTTTTTTTTTTTTTGCAGTGAATGTTTTCATTTACTTTGAATTATAGGTCATTATAAATATTAACAAATAAGACTTAAAAAGGACACCCTATAAGAGCCCTCTATGAAACAGAGCTGGAATCTAGGAACAAAAACTTATGAGTACGAGTATGATGACATTTCTGCCCTTGAGGAATGGATCGTTTCAGTGGAGGGCTGGATGTGGTCTCAGCCTGAGGAGGTGAGGGGGGCTTCACATATGAAGTGCACAGTTTTAAAGAGAGACTAGCCAGAATCTCACCAGGTGGAAAAAGGAGGAGAAAACAGCTGAGACAAATGGAAGGATGTCCCGAAGTCTAAACAAGTGTGAAACGGTATGGCATGTGTTGGGGAGCTCTACATAATTTTAGGTGACTCAACTCCAAACGAAGAGATGGTAGGAGGTCAGCTGGAAGGTAAAGGAAGGGACCATCACGAAGGGCCATGTATACCTGGCTGAATATTTGGGACCCATCCCCTGGTTATAGGGATCCAGTGAGGAGATTGAAGCCAGGGAATGACACATCAAAGATGTACAGGAAGGATCACTCAGCAGCTGGGGAATGGACAAGACCAGGGCAAGAGCAAGGAGGCCACTTAGGGCTTCCTGTGATAAACTCTGAGAAACAAAGAGGGGTCAGAATAAAACTGTGACAGTGGCCATGAAGTAAGAGAAAGAGCTGAAAAATACTAAAATGTATAAAAGATGGGGTGCCTTGTGTTTGCCTTATGTCTTACTGCAATCCCCATTAATGCCATCTTCCTGTCTTTGTGGGCGGAAATCACACTCACATTTCAAGATCTAAGTGAAATGCTGCCTCGTTCAGGTGCTTTTCTCCCCATCCCATCAACTCAGGTGGTATCTCCCTCTCTGTCTCTCCCTCTGCATCTCTCTGTCTCTTCCTCTTTGTCTCTCTGTCTCTCAATGGGGCTATGGCAACTTCACTGTCTTTCCCTTAAGGCATTTCTCACTTTCTGCCTTTCATTATCCCTACTTATAGAAAAAACATTATTCTCTCTAGATTTGCCATGGATGTGGAAAAATATCTTGGTCATCTTTTGTACCCCTAGGAACCCCTCTCCCCCATGTATCTGGTCCATATTGTGGCTACCCAGTACATCGTTTTAAATGAATGAATTGGGAAACTGACATCCTGAGGGCCTAGATAAATTGCTGAAGGGATGTGGCTGCACAGCTAGGTAAGGTCACGGCAGGACCACATCTAGAACGCAGGCATCCTGACTTCTAATGCGGTACTCTTTAAATGCTGGAGTGGACCCATCTACCCGTGTTGCTTTCATGCTAATGCATGGCCGCTTCTAACATGTGCTTCATCACCATCTGCTGCGCTGCAGGCGAGGCCCTGCCTGTCAGCCTAGACTTAAACCTCAGGTAGGAAATAGGACGGCAGCAGCGGAACAAACACACGCTGCACCCTGGGCAGAGCGCAGGAAAACGCACGTTCCTGGCACCGCCCTAGGAAACACATTGCTATCTTCAGTGGGGCAGTCTGTCTTTCTTGGGTCTCTTTCCCTCCTGCCTTCCTAGACAGACATCCATGGGAAATCAGTCAAGGCCTTAACACCAGGACGCCGAGCCTGCCTTACCGGTCACGCCAGACTGGCAGCCAGCAGGCCTCTGGCTGCCCACGTCCCAGAGCGCTCGGAAGTCTGGGCCGGACAGTTTGGAGAACAGATGGGCTTTTGAGAGGATCCCCAAAGCCTACGACTGGGGCAACCTCACCCAGTGCCTATACACTACATGGTTTCTGTCTCTGATTAAAATGCCAGTGGCACGGGGCCCCTCATGCCACCAGCAAGGGGCCCTTTCCCGTGGATTTACAATAATTGAAGATAATACTATTAACGAGGGCTTTATTTCTGGGACAAAGTTTATTGGCATTTCGGTGTGCCCCATATTTAGAGTCTATTCGAGAGCTACAACCGGCCAGGTGGATGAGCAGGGTGGGGTTCTACTTACCTAATGTGTTCTGCACCCCATTTTCTTCCCCTAGGACCTCCCAGCCAGCTCTCCTTTCCCATTCCATTCCTCATGGCTCAGGATCAACCCAGCTTGGGGTAAGGGAAATTAGTTCTAGGAGGTGTCGGCAACAAGAGTGCCAGGAGCGAAAAGGGCAGCTCAGGCACACATACATTAGATCATATTAAAGCAGCTTTTGTTTTTTCTCATTTCACTTCAGGAGACCTCAAAACTTTTGACGTCCTAAAACCTCTCATGGCTTTCTGAGAAACAGGTTGTGTATGCATGGTCTCTGACACTTCTGTAACCAGCCCCCTCCTCCCCCCACGGCTCTCGGAGCCCTGTTGAAATATTCTGGAACTCTTGCTCCCAGGAGCACATTTTGGGAAGTTGACTGAAGCCTGGTAGCAGAGATGATGTTTTCAAATCACTTCTCTGGTGAGAAATAGCCTTGGGCCAAATGCATAGAGAAGTTTGCAGTAAAAGAATGGTAGAGACAGGAGTGAGTGAGTGCATGTGTGCATGTGTGTGTGCGGGTTTGCATATGATCACATGTGTGAGTGTAGAGTATGTTTCCATGTGCATGACCATTCTCAGTAATATCATTGTGGACTTAAAAAAAAAAAGACGTGTGAAGATAAAGCAATAAAATCTTTTTCTGTGACCCATTATCAGCTGGATTTAAAAAGGAGATATAATAGTATTTTGAACAAGGCCATTGTTTTTGGAATGAGTATACTGCTCTGTAAAGTGACTGCTAAGGAGAGCATTCATTCGGGTGTGCAAATAGGGACATGCTGGCTAAAATCTGGAGGCATTTTTTTTATGTTCCTATCTTGGGAAAGGACTCTGAGGTGAAATTTTATTGAAATGAGTTTTGAGAATAAAAAGTAATGTGGCAAGAGGGAGAGAGGTGTCTTTCCAAATGAGAACCGATGTTTCTGTTATGTTTTGTTCACTGTGGTATGCAGAAAAAGCAGCCCCCACCCCAGAATGTCCATGCCCTCATCCCCAGAACCTTATGTGGCAAAAGGGACTTTGCAAATGTGACTTAGTCAAGCATCTCGAGGTTATCTAGGGACACTATTAAGGATTACCCAGTGGCCCAGATACAATCATATAGGTCCTTAAAGCAAAGAATCTTTCTGGACTGGGCTCAGAGGGAAATGTGATTATTGAAGAACGGTCAGAGAGATGAAACACTGCTGGCTTTGAAGATGGAAGTGGGCCATGAGCCAAGGAATGTGGGAAGTCTTTGGATGCTAGAGAAGACAAGGAAATAGATTCTCTCCTAGAAGCTCCAGAAAGGAAATGCCAACACCTTGATTTTAACCCAGTGAGACTGTGTCAGACTTCTGACCTACAGAACTGTAAGTTAATACATTTGTGTAGTTTTGAGCCACTGAGACTGTAGGAATGTGTTATGGCAGCCATAGAAATTTCACTCATTAACCTCTCCTACCCTCACGCTTCAGATTGCACTCTTCCACAAATTCTTCACCTGTTTGCAGTCATACACACATTTACACATCTCCAGTTACTTTAGTGTGTGGATACAGGCTCAGTATATCACAGATAATGTCAGAATGCTGACTAATACCTACACCTAGAAGAAACAACTTGAAAGTCACAGAAGACAACAGATGTCTTTGGAGGCCATTTAATGCAACCACCTTAACTTACAGATGAGGAAACCAACCCAGATGTGCTCATTTCTTTCTCCCCCATCCTATCTCTACCCCTCCTATTGATCACACTTGAACACCCAAAGAGATGAGAAGCACAAAAATGGGAGATAACTAGTTTCATTCACTGGCCTTCACATAAATTTTTCGCTTATGTGTGAGTGTGTGTTTGATGGGAAACCCTGTCTTTCTTGTAGGACTTAGAAAGAAAAATCTATTCCCATCCTTACTCATCCTTGAATTTCTCAACTTCGTATTTTTTTTTTTTTACCCAGGAGACAGGCCTAATTAACACATTGCTTTTATGCCCAATCCCTGTAAAGATGACACTGAATTTACTTAGACGAATACAGAATAGCAAACAATGGAAATATAGTATGTAAACAGAATCATAGCTGATTATTCCCTATTGGGGTCATTTGTCTCTAGCCATGATATATGTACAGCCTGATCTCAATCTTTCCCCCAGGAGTTTCTCTGGTTTCCTTTATGGATGCCACAGAGTCCAGTAAGGAATAAACATTTTTGTTCAACAGAGATGCCGGTAAATTTAAACACCCAATTAAGCGAAAGATGACTGGCTACCGATGTAATACTCACAGGTGGCCCCAGGGCACCTTGAGGTCCCATGCTTCCTGTGATCCCTGGGACTCCAGGGGCTCCAGGAATGCCCTAAATAGAGAGACAGGAAAATGGAGCAAAAATGTATGAGTGAGTACTCATACATTCTCATCGAAGACAGCCAGCTCTCAAGAAGGAGTAACAAACACACACAGTGATCGCTTCCCTCCCTCTCAACACCAAGACTTCAGGATCCATTGCTCATTCCTGTTCCCAACTACCAAAAAAGCAGGGGAGACATTTTTTAGTAGTCATGTTATCAGTCGGGTGCAGTTCTTTTAAACTCAAGCCTTACCTATGTTCAATAAAAACTAGATCAATGCAGGGGATCTATGTATGGACAAAGTGGCTCTGCTGGAATGATCAAGCCACATGGATATAGTAGGAAGAACACTGCACCAAAGAGTGAGTTGTTACCCTAGAGCAAAAATGGCTGCCCAGGTGAAAAGTTGAGCAAAAGAAAATTTCTCAAAAGAAATGAAATGCTTTAAATCCTAGTAGTTTGTGGAAATACTTACAATTGGCCCTGGTGGTCCTGGAGGGCCAGAGGATCCATCCTTTCCAGGAAAGCCCTGGAGAAAAGAAACACAATGTGTCAACTTTGCATTTGCTTTATATGGTTTTCAGAATAGATGTGCCTAATCCCATTTAATATTTGGGGGGCAAGTCCTATGCCTTGCTCTGGACTTCTAAGGATTCACTGCTTTTAAAACCTTCATGAGAACTGTTCTTGGCAAGACTTTTGTGTCTGTTGGCTCTATGAAATTGTCCAGCACAAGAATTTTAGGTCTAAGACATGCCACTTACAAACTAAACAGGAACTTGTTTCCAGAAAGTGTTTTTTTTTTTTTCCATTAAACCAAGCATAGCAAATGAAAAAGGAGATGAAGTCTTGGTAATTAATCAGACAAAAAGACAAAAAGATGAGTTAGTCTTTCATGACCTGGAGTCAGCGAGAGTTTGGGGCAAGTACTACCTATCAAAGAAACCTACATTACAAATTACTACAAGATCTGAAACTGCAACTCTTCAGGAGCAGCCTTCAGGAGACTATGGGTTGGAGGGGGGGTTCCTTTTGCAATGATACAGTTTTGACTGCTGGGCAAGCTTGTTCAAAGTGTGTTATCGCCAGCTTACAAATGAGTAGATGTTGGCTTCCCATTCCATGTTGGAAGAGTTTAAGGCAGAAAGCAAATTATGTTCTTTTTAAAAATATCTTCCTAAATTATTGAATGTGGGTATGTGTGTGTTAGTTTTATGTGAGAAATATAACAGCTGGAATGAGCTACTCTTAAATGGTTGTAGTTCTTAATTGTGGATGCCGGTCTTTTAACTAACAATGTAGTTAAAAACATGAATGAGGTTCTTCAATTTGAATTTTATAGGAAGTTAATAAAATATGGATCAAAACATCATCTTCTGCTCCATGGAGAAGTGAACTTTTTGTCTTGAGATTTGTCTTTTTTTTGGAATAACTCACTTCCATCTCAAACCAAATCAGACCAAGTCAAACCAACCCCTCTTTGCTCACTCGCTGCCTCCCCCAACTCCCTTTCTGAAACTCATGACAGTTTTCCAGTGAGCTGTTTTTCCACTTGTCTTGTCCATGAAAATCATCTTCTTATGGCTCCCCATCCACATTCACATTATGTCTCCCTACCTCAAGGTGTCAAATAAAAGAGTAAAAATGAGGCTGGAAGAAAGGAAATGGTGTGTGAACGGGGAGAAAGGAACATAAGGGGGCATGAAGAGGGGGGTGGGATAAGTGTGTAGGAACAGCACTGGGCAGCAAGGCCCTCTCCTGCATGCTCTCCAACTCCAATACTGACAAGTCTGAAAACCAGATAAGGCTGACGATTTTAGAGCTCACCAATATTTGTGATTTTCCTTTTCTGCCCTGGGCACAGTGTGAGGCAAAATTCCCATCCTCCTGTTCCAGCAATCATGTTGGAGCCACAGGGCTGAATTCTGGCCAATGGAAAGGGGCCAGTTCCAGTTCTGGCTTATGAAAATTTCCTGTGGGTAATCCTCCACTTTTTTTTCACCTTTTGTAGCAACTTCAGAGCCCATGTGTTGAAGATTAAAGTCTCCCAAGATGGAGAGACCCCAAGTTCCTCAATGACCATATAGAGCAGAGACTAGATCTCCCCACTCCTCTCTCTATCTCGTTGACAGCATAGGGTTGTGAACCAACAACAGACTTTATTTTATTTTACTGCATTAAACCATTGAGATTTTAGGATTGTTTGTTATAGCATTTATCCTATACTAATACACAAGCTAGTTGTTTGGGTTTTTTTTACTAACACTTCTGTTTTATCATTTCAGATATTCAGTCAAAAATACACTAAGTCAGGGGGCGCCTAGCTGGCTCAGTCAGGAGAGCATGTGACTCTTGATCCTGGGGTCATGAGTTCAAGCCCCACGTTGGACACAGAGCTTACTTAAAAAAAAAAAAAAATCAGAAGACTGCAGGAATAGACCCTGATATAGATTAAGTTACACACACACACACACACACACACACACACCTTTCCTTGGATTTGCTAACTAAACAGCAAAAATTAATGCTGACATAGTCTGAAAGAAATCATTTTGCATGTTGTTTAAATATAACATGTCCGGGAAGAGGCCATAAAAAATCAGAACACGTGAGAGATGAACAGGACCTGAGAACTCCTCCAGTTCAATCCCTTCATGTTATAAGTGAGGAAAGTTGGGGCCAAAAGAGGTTAGGAGACCTTACCATTAACAACAACAAAAAAAGGAATTAAAAACATTTTTTCAAAAGGAATTTAAAAATCTATTATTTCCTCAATAAAGTTCACATAAGAAAAAAATGGACTCTGGGTACATAGTCAATAATTTAAGAAGATGTTTGAAAAAGGACATTTTCTTGGCTTCCTGCCCTAAAATTCTTCTAGCAGTGGATGGGGAGGACACACGCACCCATGTGGGCCCCTACCCGACACACGGCCAACGTGACGCCCAGCAATCAGCCCTGCAACACAAGGCCTGCCCCAAAACTCAGGGGCAATTTGATTTACAGAGGGAGGCGAGCCATGGCATATTTTCTTAAAAGAACACTGCATTATTCCAAGGAAGGTCTGCAGGAAAGAATGCATGTCCACCCCCCTCCCAATCACATGGAAGGAGATGACAAAGCCGTGATCTGTTGGGGTTCTCTTCCACGGGGCACTAAAGGATGTTGTTGTGAACCGTTCTGTGTTCACCTGATTTCTAGACCCCACGTGTGACTCATCTGGAAGGGAAGACAGAGAAATGCTCTTACATAACAGGAGCTAAACTTGGTGGAGATGCCAGGGCTTTAGTGTGACCAAAAGAGGATACTAGACAAGATGTTTGTTCACTTCGTGTTCTTCTACCTACCAGAAGCTGAGTGGGCAGGATTATGTTTTATTCTTTGTTCCATTCCTAATATTTTCCTAGCACATAGCTGGCACAAAATAGGTACTAACAAAATGTTTAATTTGAACAAAATTGAGGCTCCTGGAAGAAATGCTCTGATCATCATGTTGACTGAATAAGTATTAGTCTCGGGTATAGTCATTCTGGAAATATATGGGGCAGGGAGGAAATGCCACGTCATCTGTCCTTGCTCCTGAACCCTCCATGAGCACAGAGGAAAGGCATCAGGAGTCATGTACCCTAGAAGCTGAAATTTCATTTCAGTGAATATCTTAAGGGTAGTTTCCTAGAAGCAGACCCGGATGTTATGCCTTTGATTTACAGATGGACTGTTTTTGGGAGAAACCAGCCAGGTAGTGAAGGAAGCAGGAGAGGGCAGGGAAAGAGGCATGAGAACTGCCCTTCACTGAAGTCTGGCCATCAGCTTATCCCACGGAGAGAGCTGGAGTGTGAGTTACACCCCAGAGTTGACCTGTGGTAAGGTTTTATTCACCCATATCAGTTAGTCATGGACTGGGGCCAACGTGGCATTTCCAAGGGCAATTCTCTGTGGAAGGGCCAATTCTGAATCGTTAGCAGTCAGCATCCATAGGTTGCTGGAAGGGAGGTGGGTGGAGGAATGGGGCATCTGGGTGATGGGCACTAAGGAGTGCACGTGTTGTGATGAGCACTGGGTGTTATACGCAACTGAAAAATTATTGAACTACATCTGAAACTAATGATGTACTACTATGTGTTGGTTAATTGAATTTAAATAAAAGAAGAAAGGCATGCTTAAGGTTACTGTGAGTTACCCGCTTCCCTGATGTTACTCTTAACACAATTTTGGAAACATCATCAAACCCATTTTCCCAAAGTTTCTTCCTAACCCTAGAAAATAAAAACTTCACATTTTTCAGCATGTAAAGAGTTTTACATTTTAACTTTTTAATCACACGAGTAAATTTACCGTTGAAAGATTTTTAGTTGTAAGACACACATTGGTCACATTAGAAAAGTATTTGCAAAGCTACTCTGTACTGTGCGTTCTGGTAGGATTTGGATAGCTGATGATGAACGGGAGAGTCTTTCCAAGGAGTTTACAGTTTACAGTTTACAGTTTTGAGCAAAGCCAATAATCGAAAGAAAATGACAGAGTGCTATGATGATGGACGAGAAAGTTCCAAGAGAACATGTAGGAAGAATAGCTCATCTTGTCATGCGAAGGGAGAGAGGGCTTCCTGGAGAGATGTTTAAATCAGGGGACCCAGGATGACTGGGCCATCACATGAGTCTCCCTGCTCATGGGCCACTGTGGCCTCATGTCATAGCCCATCCTTTCAAGCTGGGCAACACTTAACCAGGGCTCAGGTCCCCCTTCTCACCTCTTCACCTCAGGGGGAGGAGCGAGGGCAGCAGGTTTTTATACAAAAGCAATAAACTTGGTGAAAAGAAAAACTCTGTAAAATGTCTGCATGTTATAAGGCAAAATAAATGGCAAATTCTAGCATTGTGATTCAGCTTAATTTTAATCAAAGCTCACTGAATGAATGGTCTTCAACCCTTATCAGCTAAAAATGTGTTTCATTTCGCAGGACATTTCTATATCTATAAATTTTCCATTTCATATTAACTAACCAATCTGAGAAGATGTGTTTGTGGCTTAAGCACCCTCATAAAAAGTGGAAACCCCAAGTAAGCAACAAAGAACGAAGAGCAGGGAATAGAAGATTAAGTGATAAGCATAATGTAGACATTCACTTAAGCCGACCAATATATTTTTCAAGTGCTTGAAGTCAGCCACCCAGGCTGTTTTATAACATGAATAGCTCCAGGCATTTTTCTTTTTCTGAGATTCCCACCTCAAAATATTAATATGCACCCACAACCCACATTGAAAATAAGTTTTGCTCTAAAAACTTGAAAGGATTTTTACAATTTGTTTTTGAAAAGAGATGGCTATGAGCAAGTTACTAAGTTACGGTTGGCTATGATTTATCAGCAAAGGGAAATCAGCCCTAACATTTGCTCTTAAAATCACTGATATTTGAATGAATACTAAATTTACCTATGGCTGAAACTGGCAAAGTGTACTGTTTTATAGACATTTAATTAACCATTCTTTAATGTCCATTTTGCAGTTTCCCTTGCCTTGCTCTGGAGC